TTTTGATTGAATTGCATGCTGAAATCAATACAACAAAATTTTATACAAAATAATCATTTAAGAAATCATGTTCTTTCTTGGCCTTCCATTTAAAACAAATGGCTAGGAATTTAGGAAAATTATTTTTGTCACGTATCTTCTAACATTTTCAACAAGAATTTTGTTGATGCTGCTTATTCCTTTCATAAGAAGAGTTTTAGCATGCTAGTCACTTCCTACCATTGAAATAACTCAGAAGAGTTTTATCCAAGCACCAAGATTTCAATTTTTATGAGATGAACGGGGGAACACTAGTAGATACGAACCAGAGTATTCTTTTGATGTAATTAGATATGAACCAAAGTTTAAACTGAGCATAAAACAGGTATGTAATATGAACCACAAGCGATATGGGGATGCACAAACCTTAAAGAATCAGAAAGTGCTTGAAGAGCAGCTTTGGATGCTGTGTAGGCACCAGCCCATGGTCCAGGGGCCAAAACAGTAACACTTCCAAGATTTACAATCTTTCCCTTTTTCCTTGATGCCATGTGAGGGACAACAGCTTGTATCAACCTCATGGAACCTTAATCCATGGTCACAAAAAGAGTACATATGCAATCAATCATCTTGAGAACAAACAAAGGAAAATGCTAAGACAAATGAAAAATGTGCTGGCATCACTGCATGAGACAATCGAATATAAATGGAATTTATAAAATCATTCTGAAAGCCTATGTAGAAGATACTGCCCATGTGCTTCATTGCATTAGAAGACCAGTTAAGCTCCAGTGCCACATTTAGTAAGAAAATAAAGGTTGACAAACTAATGACAAAATTCCTGTTTTATACAGAACCTCTGCAAAGCTTTAACAAGTTCATTAATCCAATACTGATCGAAAAATTTCTGTGGATGCATTCAATCAGTAATTGCCTAAAGGGTGTATTGTGGTGCCTTCAAATTTTTGCTGAGTTTCTCTGGTTTTCAGTAGAGAGTGTGAGAGGCATAGGGTTTGTGTATTTTTGCTAAGTTTTTGGGCATATGTTCAAATTAGAATGAGAACAAATGAAAACTGATATCTTATAGCTAAAGGCTCACATGATTAAGAGAATGATATGCAGCAAATTTTAGACCAAACAAGCCACTGGGTAACAGACCTGCTTGGCAGTTAATAAAGGAAAGTTTTGGTGACCACACAAGTGGATGTGTTTGGATTTGTCAATTCCCCCTTTACCCTCAACAGCAATTTGAGCTAAAACCCATGTAGCTAAACATAGTAAAGCAGGCAACAAACCAACAAACAACACAAACAGTATGACAAGCAAAAAGAAATCACCATTAGCAAGTAGATTAATGTTAACAACAAAACTGGAAACAATGGAACCAAAAGAGAATATACTGAAAGAGAGTAAAGAGAGTCCTTTCAATACCATAAACGTTGGTATTAAAAGTGTTTTGCAGAGCAGAGAGAGGGACTTCTGCAAGAGGGCCAACACATTGAATCCCAGCATTGTTGACCAGCACATCAATTCGGCCGTACTTCTCCAAAACACTAGACACCACATGATCCACACTCTCATCTGAAACCACATCCAGCTCTTGTAAAAAGAACCTTGGGTCCTCCTGAAGGTCAGCCATGGAGCTCAGTGACCTGCTCGTAGCCACCACCAGACAGTCCTCTGCAGCAAACGCATGTGCCAGGGCATGGCCTATGCCTCCTTGGGAGCACCCAGTGATCAGAACCACTTGCTGCCCGCAGAATTCCATCTGGGTTTTTCTGGGATCGATTTTGTTTTGAAGGTGTTTGATGAAAATGGAGTCAAGAAGCTCAAAGTGGAAGTGGGTCTTTTGTTAATTACGAAAAGATTGGTATAATAAGCACGCATTTAATACACGTGTAGGTACCAAATTGGATTAAATCATCCAAGAGAAATCTCTCCAAATCCACATTTGGTGAACCAGTTGGATTATTTTTTTTGTTATTTTTGTTTTTGTTTTTGTCAAGTTTAATCAAATTATGTGATTTTGCCTAACTCAAATTAATGCCGTGGGACCATGCCTCATAACAAAATTAATACCCTTGAACCATATCTTGAATTAATCCCTTTAAACCATATTTGGGTTTTAAAGGAAATTTTCCCCTATATTATATATATTTTTCTAAGGGAAACTTTCCTGGTAAATGTAAAGCAATAAAGCATATATGGGTTTGGCCAGTTGACTACAGCAATGTTTGCCTTACATATGGATAAAGCACATATGAATTTGAATCTTGTTTTCCGTAAAATGTCACTTTTTTAAATAAATCAAAAACAAAAGAAAGAAGAATTGATGATAGCGTACTTGTTTGTCACACCTCCTGCCAAAAGTTAATCTCATGTTTGTTGTCATTTGGTCCTAGTATTCAGTGGAATTAGTAATCCCAGCCCACCAAAAACACCTTCTTAGGTGTTCTTAGCTAAACCCGTGTGAAAATGAGGGACTATTAGTC